TAGGAGGGAAAACCAGACAGGAAGTAGAGGTGATAAATAAGAACAGGAGAATTCTGGGAAGGAGGAAGCCTATTTCTCCACAGTCCTGCCCAGGCACTGAAGAAGAAAGATGTGACCTGCCCCACCAAAAAAGGTACCAAGCAATGTGGCTAACATAGATAAGAATAATGGGTTAATATAAGTTATAAGAGTTAATAAGAAGCCTGAGCTAATGGGCCAATCAGTTTATAACTTATGTAGACTTCTCTGTGTGATTTTCTTTGGGGCTTACTGGCTCTGGGAACTGGGCAGGACAGAAACACCAAGAAGCAGGCTCTCATGTTACAAGTCTTCCTGTGGTGTGGCCACTGGGTTAGGTATTATTTTGCTGCTTTTCAGGTTGTTGAATGAATGTTTGCATTGGCACCTACCCATCTCTTCCTCCAGTTGGTGCCAGCAATTTGCCTCTTGGTCAAGTCCTTACAGTGGCTCTCTGTGTCTTAGAGAGCCACTCAATTCTCTCTTGGCCCACTGTCTTGGTCCATTGTGTGTAGTTGAGGTCCTATGTCTGCAGCTGTAGCTCTTGGTCCACTGTGCAGTTGAAGCCTGTAGTTCAGAGGTTACAGGGGTTGGGTGAGTTTTGGGATGGAGTGGGCATGTAGTTTACAGGGTTCAAACAATAGACTGGCATTATATTTTAATCAAAATCATTATACAGTACAGATTAGGTAGCACTCCACATTAAAAATGCAAACTATTCAAAAATATTTCTGTATTAGAGAATATCTACTAAACAGAGAAATCTACATGGCAAGTAATTCTTTTAACAAATCCAAAGGGATTTGAAGCAGAATAATAAATTTATGGCTCTTCAAAATTCTTTGATTATTCATGTTAATTGGATGCATAAATCTAAAGGTACATCATCGAAAAGAATGAGATATTTCCAAGAATGATGACTTGCCATTTAAAAATTAATGTTTTGCATGAAAATTTCATCTCACAGTGATGCCTGGAAAGGAAAAATGTTTTTAGGAAGAACATAATCTCAGATGGCAGGCAGATTCATATCGTGGTTGTCTACATCTCCCACAGAGTTACATTTTATTCAGGTTGATAGTCTGAGAGCAACAAGTTTCTGCCATTATGAAAAATAACAAAGGAGTATCTATAAGTCATCATATCTCACTGTGCCTTGCACAGATATTTTGTCTTTGATACACAAGCCCCTGCCCAATGTGTATTATATCAGCTTTCTGACATTTTCTAAAGCTTAGTGAGAGTTTACTAAACATAGCTTGTTTGGTCATACAAACATAGCTTGATGTCAACACAGCCATATCGGAGAGATCATCTTTCAGGGGGATAAAGCATGTCTAACATACAGCAATAAAATAAGGAGAGGCTTGCTAGTGCTGTTGCCTGTGTGTTCAGGTATTTCTTTATGAGCAGAAGCATTGAGTATGTAATTCTTGTCACATTAACTATTACAACATATTTGGGGAAATGAAGGTTTCTAAACTATTTTTGCTTGTGTTATCAGAACATGGCACATACTTTGACTATGCTAGATCCCCACTTAGCATCTAATTGAAGAGATGAGTAAGTAATCTCAAGTCAGAAGAACATGTCTACAAATATCTACTGTGCGGTCATCATATACAAAGCACTTCAGGCACAGATATGGCTTCTCAGAATGTAAAGATTAAATGATAAAGTATGTACAAATTACTACATAATAAACATATTTCTCATTCCAGACTATTATATACCAATTTTCAGTGCAGGTATTAGGGAGAATGGAGAACTGGTATGTTATTGTTGCTGATATTTTTGAGGGGATAGGATGCTTGAATCCAAGGCCTATCACAGGATAAATACATTTTCTACCACTGAGGACTATTTACACATATACGTCTACCTTATCAGAATGGCAATGTCATGGACTGTGTCTTCAAATACATTAGACTACTTCCACACTTTGTGCTTGAATCCAGAGTTTAGGTGGGAAGAAAGAACCCCAAACTGATTTCACTTCTAAAACGTGGGATATTCTTATGGCTCAAGAGACTTGTTCAAAAAATTAGTTCTAACTTGAGTTCTAACTCAAGCATTAGAAGAACAATGATAACTAATATTCACTGATCTTCTAATAGGTTCCTGTGACTCTTTGTATTATAAAATCTTTGTATATGCCATACCTCATTTAAACTTCATGATGACTCTACAAAGTACATGCTAGTATTGCTGTTATTCAAAGAAGAGGAGAATGAGTCACAGAAACGTTGACTGGCTCAAGACCACAACATTGAGCTTGCCAAACCACTGTGCATGATAAACTTGGGGTAGAAGATTGGTAAACTTCAAGACAGTTGCCAAGGTGTACTGAGAAACAAGAAGTCCTCCAAACTATATCAGTATAAACTGGGAGAGTGCCATTACCACACACAAAAAAAAACTTTGAAATTAATGAGACAACATTTGAGAAGAATAATTATTATATACCTATTATCTTATTTTGTAATTAAAAATCACAAGCATTGTTTGTTAGGAGCCATTATTCATGGTGAGTTTTGCTAGCTAAGGAAAAGATATTTACCTTGATTGTCTAAACAGGGTGACAAGAGACTCACTTAATTAAGCTGATTATAAACCATGCAAAGCTCATTTTTTTCTCCCCTGGAAATAAATTTAACATACTACCTAAAACCCCATAACACCTTGAGGCTGTAAGGAGCTTAAGAAGTATACAAAACTATTATTGAGTACAAAACAACTTTCCAAACCTGAATAGGCTGCCAAGTCTTCATTACTCTATAATAAAATTTCCCAACAGTTGCACTAAGTCAATTTTAACCAAATCCCTGGTCCCACATCCCAATTACCTTTTTCCTACAGCTTATCAATACCACATTGGCATCACTCTAATTATTGCAGTTGTACATACTGTATGAACTCAACTTGGGTGCCTGGTTAACTGACTGAAAATAAAGTTTATGGGACTGAGAAGATGTCTTAGTTAATCTCCCAAGTATGCAGAACTGAGCTTGATTCCCTACACTCACATAAACGCCAGGTGTGGTGAAGTGCATCTGTGACCCTAGTGCTGCCAGGGTATAGACAGATGCTTCCCAAAGGCTCATGGCCGACTAGCCTGCCTGAATTGGTGAGTTCCAAGGTCAGTGAGAAATATGAGAGACTTTGTGTCCATTTATGCGTGCATGTTCAAATGCACCTAAACATCCGGGCATTAAACACACACACACACACACACACACACACACACGGGTGGGGGGATGAGAGGAGAGGAGAGGAGAGGGGAGGGGAGGGGAGGGGAGGGGAGGGGAGGGGAGGGGGGAGAGGGGAGGGGAGGGGAGGGGAGGGGAGAGAAAGAGAGATCGAACCACTTACATGGTTTAAATCAATGATGCATTATATTGTATTTAGATTATATTTAGCAATGAGAGATGAGTGGAGCTGTTACTATCATTTCTGGGAAACCAAATGTGCAGTCAGCTTTGACATGCATAGCTTCATGCTAATGACCAATGACTTTGATGAAATATTGAGAAAAAATATTGGTTATGTATTTCACAATCTGTAAAGTGTAGAGACAAATTTGGATTTCCTCTCACAGAACATAGAAACTTTGAAAGAAGATGAGCAGTTTTGCTTGTTCTAATTTGGAAAAGTAATTCCCCATCCCTGCTACTCTGATTTAGAGCCTTGGCAGCCTTTTAAAATGAATTCATAATGTCAGAAAGGAAAAGAAGTTATAGTAAATCCCAGTAAATATAAAAAGCAAAAGTCACAAAATAGAAATTAATGAACTTTTAAGCAGAAGATAAAGGGCTAGAAGCAAAAGGCTGAAAGGTTACATTTTTGTGGGGTAAAGTCTAAAGGCTAAAACCCATGAGATGAAGCATTTAACACACTCATGTAAATTTTATCAAGAATTGAGCACAAAAGCATGTAAAGACTAAAGCTGGGCATTAAGAAAAGAAAACAAAGACAAATACTTTTTAAATGAAAACTGAAGAAAGTTCAGAGATTATTGAAACAAAAGAAAAGCAAAAGAGAGGGAAGGAGGATACGTGAGAAAGGAACACAGGGGAAGAGTTAGATTTTAGAGACCTTCAGTGACTTTAGAAAGGATCCAGATAAATGGGCTTTCTGAGTCATCCATGTTTGTCCTTATTACTTAGTGCATGAATTCTACCCAGCACACAAACAGAAAAGGGGAACCCTATTGCATGCAATGGCATCTAAATAGGAATCTCAGGCTCCACAAATTCTCTAAATATTATCCACCAGAGGTTTCTTAAGTCACCACTGTCCCACAAGGAAAATTATGGTATCACCTCAAAAACTTTATGTCTTTGGATAGAGGGGGGAGGACCTTGGACTTTCCACAGGGCAGGGAACCCTGACTGCTCTTTGGACTGGAGAGGGAGGGGGAGAGGAGTGGGGGGAGGGGAAGAAGGGTGGGAGGAGGGGGAGGGGAGTGGGAGAAGGGGGAAACTTTTTTTTTCCTTTTCTCAATAAAAAAAACCAACTTTATGTCTTATATCTATCTCTTAGTAACTATGTGACATTGGGGGTAGTTTCTCAACCTCTTTAAGTCTAAAAATACTTATTTGAGCTATAAAAACAATGGCAATACTAATTATGACAGAGGTATTAAAGATATCACTTCATCTGTGTCTTATATTTGGCTTCTTACTTCTTTATTAATGGAGATAAAATGTTGCCAAGCAGCAAACAATGTCCATAATTTTGGCATCTACCTATGGAACCAGTACTCATCTCAGGGTTGGGATCAACACACATTATCTCATTTTGAGATTAATCCTACCCAGAAAATATTTGTCACCAATGGTCTCAGAATATAGCTCATTCCTATGAATCTCAAGTTGCAATTCACTAAAGAAAGAGGATGGGCAGCAGAGATCAAATAAACAAGTTAAAGAAAAGAGCTATCGAAACAATAATTTAATGATGTCTCTTTTTCAATGTTTTAGACTCCACAACATATGCACATTTTCTGTTCAATGCATTCGATACGGACCACAATGGCGCTGTGAGTTTTGAGGTAAGCTTTAGGCTCCTGTTCTACTATTTGATGTAAGACATTCTGAAAGGAATTTTGTTCTTTGTAGTTGAAAAGTTAGGGGTTCGATATTTGCTAATTTTTGAAATGTCCAAGAACACCTCCTTCCTCTTTAATATGTTGTAATGCAATTGTTTTTATCTTTCCAAAGTTGAACAAATTACAACCTACATTTAGTCTACTTTCAAAGATGTGCTATCTGTTCATGCATGGCTTTCCTCAACAGCATCATGACGACAATCCCAGAAGGCTAATGATTGATTTGGCATTTACTGGTACTTACTATGGGCCAGTACTTGGAAATATAGAAGTAATATACTTAATTTTTGCTGCAGGAGCCTAGTAAATATAGAGTAATGCAAGATACGTAATGCAAAAATAATTCTGCCTTCACCAGTCCTAGAAGCTTGCAATAAAAACAAAAATTTCAAGTGACCTACAGCAAAAGCATATAGTGTTCTTCATGAAATTTGGGATATAATAACCTTAATAAAATTGTGTTCTCTCTCATACAGAGAGGGGGGAGGGAGAGAAAGAGGAAATATGATAGATGTACATAGATTCATAGACATAGAGACAGACATTAACTATGATTAGAGAAACTGTCTTTTATGGGATTCATCTGAGACTGAGCAGGTCACAGGTAAGAATACATTTAAATGTGGATGCTATAAATGGAATATGCACTCGGGATAGCTATCTGTGACTTTTACATTTGGTAAGAAACTTGGGAGAAAAATATTTTGTTCACAGGCTTGCTTAAATTCTGAATGATTGTATTTTGTCTCTGGGAAGATGAAGTATCTTTTTTTTTTGAATAAGCAAGCTAGGATTTTATTGTTTTACCTAAAATGCTTTATCTCTTCCATTTTCTTCACTATAATGAAATTACTCCTAGTTATGAACCAACCTTTTTTCAGTTATTATTGAAGTAATAGAAAAGAGACATTTTTGAAAAAAATTGTCATTCAACACGAATCATCTTAGGAAAGATTATAAAATGCACATTTAAATACATAACTAAGATAGAACCCAACTTTACAACATAATTGTTACTTGATATATATTTTTGTATAAAAATTTTCAATAAGAAAATTCAAAGAGGGACATAGCATAATTATTTTAAAGAATTAACTTATAATTGTTGAGAAGAATTGATTGCTAGTAAGGGAATTTCTATTTCCCAATATTTACATATAACTGATATTTAGTATTTGTGCAGTACAGGATTTCACCAACATGTACAAACTCCCCCAACAATGAGAACAACTTCCTTAGTCACATCACAAATTTTAAATAATCAGTTACGATCAGTGTTAATGATCCCTGTAGGTATTTATAAACTAACCTAGTGACTGAGCAGGTTCCTGCCTTAGATGTGTTACCCAGCATTGCCTTCTCAGAAAAAAAGAAAAACAATTCAAAATTCTTAGTAAAGATTCTGCTGAACATGCTTTCTTTTTACACCACCATAAACTCAAAATTTAATATAGTCCCAAATTCATAAGTCCATGTAGGATGTAATAAAATGCTCTTGCCCTGCTTTGCTCTTCTCTCTGTGTTTTCCAAACTTTGGGGTTTCTTTATTAGTTTATTCAATGGTTAAGGATAATTAGAAGTCTTCTTTTTCCCTGTATCTTAATACTGGATTAAGTTATTTTCAGATTTATTTTAAGTGCCAATAATGCAAATATATGAGGGAATAAATCATCCAATAATGTTGTTCATTTCTGATACTAAATGAAGTTTAGCTAGCGGTATTGTAGAAAATTAAATTGAATTCTAGTTCCTTTTCAGTATGATGTACCAAATAGTCTGTAAGTTACTCAAGATTTTAGAGACGCATGTTAAAAATCAATGGAAGGATATAATAATTTTTTTTTCATGTAACACATGATTATAAATAAGCCTCTTTCTCAAAAAGTCTCTATATATTCATTTTTCCTTTTATTTTGTGGTGTATGTATGTGTGTGTGTCCATGTGTGTTGCCATGAAACATACAATTCAATCAGAAACCCACTGGAAGTCATCAGTTTTCTGCCCCCAGCATGAGGATTAGAAGGCAAGAGAAATCAGAGCAAGTGTGTGTGCCATATCCTTCTCCAGCTTTAAACAGGAATGAAAAAATGAAGATTGGAAATGACCAGAGAGGAATCAGGGTTCTGGACCAAAGTATAATGGTTAAGAGTGACTGTACCAGCCTGAGCTCAGTCACTATATGGGACATATATGTCACTATATGGGACATATTGTCTAGAAAAGAGGCAAAAGAACATATTCTGACACAGAAATACCTTTGGGTATATCTTCAAAAATATATTTTAAAATAATACAATTTTCACTGTATCTTGTCTAAAAATACTGTGTTGGCAACATAAATTAATAATACAGATACATCTATTTACAATTTTAAAAGACAAGTGTGTCACTATGTCCTGACACTGTTATAAAGCATGAAAAATAATCTCTACCATTTGGGAAGATTTTGCCTTCTAAGAGACCTCTATGGTTCTTTAATGTTGAATTTCGGTGATTGTTTTATTGTAGGAAACAATTGCTCTCCCAAGGGAAATTTTAAATGTAATGGAACAAGTATTTAGCAATATCATCTGCTGTCATCATGTACAGATATTTAAGGGATGTTATGAAGGGCATTAGAAATGCTTCTTAGTTCTGAATATTCTCACTGTCTAAATAATTCATTGTACCTAAAATGCCTTTATATTCGAGGAATGCATGATACCTAGTGAACCGTCTATGCATCCATCTAGTGTAGTTACACTCGCCCTGCAGCGCTTTAGCAGTGACAAACCTGGGCCATTGGTGTCAGTGGTGGGGTTTATGAGAGGCTGTTCTTATAATCTTGTATTCTGAATAGCTACTATCTAAAATTGGATTTTTAATATCAAAATAGAATATTCATTAAAACAGTATTTCAATCTGATTAACAGAATTCATCATTATTTGACCTATACACTTTTCTCTGCCCTTCCTCTCACCTCTCCTTCAACCCTCTCCCATGATCCCCATGCTCCCAATTTACTCAGATCTTGTCTTTTTATACTTCCCATGTAGTTTAGATCCATGTATGTATCTCATAGGGTCCTCATTGTGGTCTAGGTTCTCTGGAATTGTGAGTTGTAGGCTAATTTTCTTTGCTTTATGTTTAAAAACAACCTATGAGTGGATGCGCAATTGTACCCACAAGAATATATGCTCAACTATGTTCATATCAGCATTGTTTGTCATAGCTAGAATCTGGAAACAACCTAAATGTCCCTTAACCAAAGAATGGACAAGGAAAATGTGGTACATTTACACAATGGAGTACTACACAGCAGAAAAAAAAACAATGACATCTTGAAATTTACAGGCAAATGGATGGAGCTAGAAAATATCATATTGAGTGAGGTAACCCAGACCCACAAGATGAAGTATCTATTATTTTACTTTGTAATTTCAGTGTCCGGGAGATGATAGATAGATAGACAGACGAACAAACAGACGGACAAACAGATACTAAAGAATTGCATTAAAGCATTTAGGAGATATATTATTTAGGGGGTATATTTTCTATTTTGAAAGGGTGGCAGAGGATGAAGCTGACACACATGAAAAAAATTTCTAATTAGGATCCTGACAAAGTAAATGAGATGGTCAAATGAGACTAGCTAAAAAACAAAACAAAACAAAAATGAACCTATGACAGAACTGACTGCAAGAGCAAAGACTGTCTGTTGCTTTTTCATGTATTATGTCTTGAGAAACTAGCAGAAGCTGATCAGGGAATACAGGCTTGATATGGGAAGCATGAGGGAGACCCTGGATGGAATATATCAAGCTGAGAATAAAGATAAAACATCTGTAGATCTTCTGGAAGACAGGAGAAAAATATATGAGAGAGTTGGGAAAGTAAGCAGAGACTGCCTCTATAAGGCAGGCTGCCAACTAAGGAGGCTGAAGACTGTCTTTTAGAAGAAAAGGATGGCTGATAAGGTTTCATCAGGGCTGTTCCTGTCTGTGAGCTATGTTCCTGGAACTTGGAGAGCAATTAGAAGCTATTTATTCTAAAAGTCCCAACAGAACCTGATGAAAAACTGAACTGCAGTACAAGCCTTTGAGATCAGGAGAGAGATGAATTTAAAATTACTAAACATGAGCATAATAGAATTGTAACCATCTGACAAGTTTAAGAGAGAAAAGAGTTTAAACTTGGACAACACTCTGAACACAAGGCTACAGGAAGGGAGGCTGAAGGAAGAAAGGTAGATCTTTGTAAATTATCAATCAGTGGTCCTAGGGTAGAATTTCCAGAGGTAACAAAATACCTTATCATGTATACTCTGTCCTCAGGAAGACCTCAGGCCATTGGTTTGAAAATTCTGCAACAGGAATCTCAAACATCATCCTAACAAAACTTAAGAAATATCCTATGAAGGGAAAAGCAGAAGGTGGCAGTGATTGAGGAAGTGTGAGCCAAGAAGTCAAGTCTGGGTGAGCAGGGTTAACCTGAAAGGAGAAACGGCAGTTACTGGGCCAAAGGTAACACTGCAAAGGTGTTCAAGATCTCCTGAAATGCATACTTCTAGTATTTTAAGTCCTCCTAAGGAGAATATCCTATCAGTACTTATTATATAAGGCTAATACCAGCATAGCTGCAGTCTAACTATGGTTTTAATGTCAATAGTCTAGTTCAAGTACTAAAAAAAAAATCATAGTTAATTACAGAGAATGGCAGAGGTGAAAACTACTACTGATTCCATTACTTGGAAGAGTTTGTCTATCAGAAACATGATATCCTGCTATTGATGTCTCACAGAACTTTGTGTTCAGTTTTGCATATGCATTACCTATTGTCAATCATGTGGGATAATATATAGCAATGCTTTTATTGTGTAAAATTCTAGTAATTAAGATTAGGGCTTATTTGGATTTGGGAGGTTAGCCATGACAGTTGTGTGTGATATTCATATTGGTAGAA